GGAAGTCATATTCATTAGGAAAGCTTGGTTTGGGAAGATCATTGTTGTCTAAACCAGACATCAACAATGGGAGAAATTCACGTAAGGTTGATTTAAGTCCTTAATATAACACCCAATATGATATATTAAGGCTAGGACCTAACAAACTATTTATTAACTTGGAAGAGGGATGCCGTAATCCAAGCTATAAAATATTTGAAGGTAGGTGAATGACGATTCACCAATTTCCACCAAGATAAACGAAATGTATTATTAGGTTTTAATTGGTTTTGAAACTCCTAGATTCTTTTGAGATTCATTGAACTTTTCAATGGCATGTTTCAATCTCGAGTGTGCCCTTCAGGTTTTGTGACTGGGATGCCGAGGATCACAAAACAAGGTGTGAAGTAACCATGCAAATATACTTGGTACCCTTAATATTTACCCCTCAATCGATGTGCCGGTTAACCACACACGCTCCAACGATACTATGATAAACATTAAGTTACCCTTTGCCTACCTTGTTAAGTCCAGGTTAGTGTGCCGGTTAACCACACACGCTCCACTAACAGCTTAAACAAAGTGCAAAGTGTAATTTCATGGATTAGCACCTTATTCACATTTTCCTAAGTAACTAAGATTGGGAATTTATAAGTGTTTAGTTACTTAGTATTTATCATTATACTTATAATGAAGGGAGAATTATAGTCCTTGTCCTACCTGTTCGGCTAACGACCCTCCACCAGTCAAGGAAGCGGTGGGTGAGAGTGGACACCCATTAAACTGCCATTTTATAGGCAGTAACCTTATACCCCCCCTTATAGACCGGCTTCGTGAATGAGGCCTACTAATGGTAAGACGACTTGCTCTTATACATATAATATATTAAACTTTTAATATTATAATAGTATAAGGGTGGATTTTAGACATTTAAAATACTTGGTGGTTTAATCTATTAATTAAACTATACTCTTAATTTAATTAAATTTAAACCATGTCATTATGGAATTATTAATTCTCTTTAATTAAACACTTTAATTATCTATTAATAAAGTCCATAAGAGTTAATTGAATTATTCAATAAAAACATCATAATTCCAATTATTAAATTCAAAATTAAAACCATTTAATTAATTGTTTAAGTTATGAACCCAAGAGTTTTAGAATTCAATTCTTTTTTTTATCATAAAAAAACTTTTTTCAAATTCCAAAACTTGAGGGCAAGTTTTGTAACTCTTGAAAACTTTTGGATTCCATAACTTATGGAGTTAAATACTTGTTTTATGATGAAACTTTTCATGTTCCATAACTTAAGAACAAGTTATTGAATTCTTTAAAACATTAAGACCAAGTTTTGTAACTCCATAAAAAACTTTGAATCAATTTTTTTAAAAACCTTTTCATATCCATAACTTATGGAGGTTTCAAAAAACTCTTTAGATCAAACTTTTAAAACTAATAAAATAATCATATCATTTTATCTTTTACTAAATTTGACCTAATTCAACTCATATAGCAAATGATTCAAATTTTACAAATAATTAGTTTTTCACAAAAACAAGTAATTATCTTAAAATTTGACAAACGTCATGTTTTTTTTTTCCTTTTTTTTTCAACTTGAAAATAAAACATTTGCATCAATATAACAGAAAACAACCCATGGCTCTGATACCACTGTTGGGTTTTGAGCATTCTAACACTCCTATGGTGTACATGCAACCCTATAAACCTTGGATCTATGTTTTCTCTATTATACATGCAAATATTAACTATTCCAAGGTTTCATCCTAACTAGCATATTATGAAGCACCTATACTACAAAGTTCTAGTTAGATGACATACCTTTTGATGTAGCTTGATGTCTTCAAGCTTTAAGAGCTTAGCCCCAATAGTGTGGAAGCCTCAAATGGAATCACAAATCACCAAAACACCTTGGAAGAACTTGAGAGAATATGTATGCACACTAAAATCGGTCCACTCTTATTTTCACACACTTGTGCTAATTTTGTGAGCCAAGGACCCCTTTATATATTATGGAGGATTAGGGTTACATCCATGTAAACCCTAATACCCATGACCTTTCATTTACATAGGATCCATGGGTTAAAAGCTCCATGGACCATCCATGAAAGCTTAGCCCAACCTAAATGAACTTGGCCCATTCCATATATATAAGAGTCCATATTTAATTAGTTCTTTTTGATCACTTAATTAATTCTAAATTAATTCTTGATCAATACTAATTAAATAATATGATTCCATATTAATATATTAGAACTTATAATATATTAATATAAATCATAAATATACTATTCTCAAAAGACTATCCATATAAATTGTGTCGGTGAAGTGCAACCCAAATGGACCATGTCGGGTCAGGTCAAGTACATACCAAATATAGTTATGGACTTAGACATTAATCCAACAGAAACTTCAAGCAAACTTGAGCCTAGATCTACCAAATTCATCTTTGTAGGATATCCTAAAGATTGTTTAGGATATTACTTCTACATTCCAAGTGATAATAAGATCTTTATCTCACGAAAGGCTGAATTCTTAGAAAGCAAGTTTCTAATGGATGAGGCAAGTGGGAGGCGCGTGGAACCTGAAGAAGATCAAGAACCTCAACCCGATGCAACCTTAGTTGGCACTAGTACTGAACAAGAGGTTGTTGAAGATTAGGAGATCATTGTCCTTCAACCTATTGAAACACAAGGCATTCGCGGATCCGGCAGAACTCGTCGTGAACCTGATAGATATGGATTTATCATTGACGAGTGCTTCATGATGATGAATGTTGATGAGCCCATCAACTACCGATATGCAATGTTAGATCCCGAATCTAACAAATGGCTTTGTTAGATCCATAGCAATTAAGATTGATATCATACAATTGCATCTCTATCTATGCTTCTATCTATCTATATATGTCAGTCATATGTTGTCCCCTCTGCGTGATCGGAAGATCCGACCTGGGACACAGCATATGCATCTTTCTATTTCTATCTATGTTAGTCATATGTTGTCCCTCTGCGTGATTGGAAGACATCCGACCTGGGATACAACATATGCATCTCTATATCCATCTTCTCTCTTAAATAATTGAGCACTCACCTAAAGTAAAGAGCACTTTGGAATTCCTTGATTGCTAGGGTATGTCGTGAAATGGGGAACACATTCTAGTGCACTTAAAATTGAATTAACTAAAGGCTGACCGTAGATCTAGCTGCTGAATTTAAGTGGGCAACAATATCATTGGTCGTCGTCGGCTAAGTAGTCTATTTAGGAATATAATCACAATGTCTTGTCATTTATAATCTGTCCAACTTGTCAATATCCTTTATGTTTAAGTGGACCACAATATTGGTGATTAACCAGAGCTAAACATGCAGGTCTGTGCTAATAAACGATATTAAATTGCTTGACAACTTTGATCCCAAAAAGTTTTAAATTTAGTTATAATTTTTGTTTTTATTAAATTTGTTCATATTTTTCCTCTATACACAAATTTAGGGGAAAAATTAAAAAAAAACAAACAAAAATCATAAAATTTAAAAAATCCAAAAATATTTTATTTTGAGTGTATTTTTAATTTTATTTTTATTATTTGGCATTTAATTTATTTTCATTTCAAACTTTTGTCTTATTTTATTTAATTTTAAATCTGAGAAATGAATTATATATGGATTTTGCTTTGGTGACCCACCGAATTGAGTGGCCCAAAGGGCCGAGAACCCAGTTTTATGGTTTAAAAAGGATTTTGCGATTCATTTTTTCCTCACTACCACCGAAATCAGTATCTCATCTCTCAAAGACCTAATCGGAAACCCCTATTTCTCCTTTTATCGATTAATCTTCGTTTTCAACCAAAATCATCTATTTTTTTCTTCGATTCTTAGAGATTTTACAAGGTACATGGATATTAAGTAACATATTTCAGTTTTTATGATATTTTCTTGGAGTTTTGCTGGTGCTCAAAGCTTTTCCAGCGTGGCTGACGGTGGTTTCCGGCGGATTCCTCGTGGATTTAAAACGAAAAGTCATCGGGTTTTCGGTTTGACCTGACTCAGACCAAAAACGCCTTGTCTTGACCGAAAACGTCCCTTTGACCGAAATCTCTTGTTTGACCAAGAAAAATCACCATATCTTGACCGAAAACTCTTATTTTGACCGAAATCATCATTTTGACCGAAATCAACTTACCTTGACCGAAATCGACAATATTGACCAAAACTTTAAACTTTTTGAGAAAAATAAAATTTTAATTTTAATTTTTAATTATAATTTTTATTGTTCTCACTTAATTCGTTTGGTGCAGATAAATGGCGGAGCAGTTGAAATTTGTTGATTCTCACAACATCGCATGATATCTCTTGGATCCACTTGTCGCGCATAATGAATTCAAATCCATGATCGTGGGTTTGAACAATTGCAGGATTTCCGACGCTTTGCGTTCTAATCCAGTCATCTACAAGGACCTGATTATTGAGTTCTGGAAAAATGCTTCAATCAACAAGCATGGAGCAGATGGAGCTGGTATTGTTGAATCAATGGTGAAGGGAACTCAAGTAATTGTTTCTGAGCAAGTTATCCGAGAAGTACTTGAATTTGGTGATGCCTCTGCATTTCCAGTTGAGCACCCTACTGATCATGTGAAGGAAGTCCTTGAGAAGATGTGCTATGAAGGAACCTATCTTCCCACCATCAAGAAGCAGCTGCCACCTTACTGGAGGCTTCTGGCACACTACTTTGTGATTTGCATTTCTGGAAGGAAGGGAGGATCTGATGAGATTAGTTAGACTGCGACCTCAGTTATTGTCGCTTTAGCAATGAACTGGGATTACAACTTTTCGAAGTTTGTTTTTGAGGAAATGAAAAGGAACCTCTAGGGGAAGAAGAAGGATTTGTTCTTGATGTATCCCAGGTTTCTTCAAATGATCCTGAATGAAAAATATCCCCAGTTCGAAAGATCATCTGATACTTTGGACATGAAAGCTTTGGGTCCCAACACCTTTGGGCTCATGAATCAATCAAGAAAAGCTACCAAAGTCGCCTATCAACGATTGAAGGAGTTGGTTAAGTTTGGAAAGTTTGTTGAAGTTGAAGATACTCCTGCTGCTAGTTCCATTAATGCTGAGGTTGCCAAGGAACATGTGGCACCTAAACCAAAATTTCAATTTGCATTTCAAGAGGTTGAAATTTCTGATGATGATGATGATGATGATGATGATGATGATGTTAATAATGATGATGATGATGATGATGATGATGATGGTATGGATTTTTGTATGTTTGTACCATCAAAGGAGCCAGTCAATGAGGCTGTGATCTCTCCAGCTGAGACAGAGAAAGAAATAAACATTTTCAAGCAACCAAACGATCCTACACCCGAACAGATGGAAGCCCTTATTGAACAATTACAGTCAACTGCGAGGAAGCCTCCCCAAGCAGTTCCGGTTACTCCTGCGTCTCCATCTGGGAGTGATAAAGAAAATTCAAGTGCCTCCTTGATGCCAAGTAAGCGTAAAAGAAGAGATCCAAGGCCGGGAGTGCTTATCTCAGACCAAGTCCAAAAGGAATTTTCAACGATTGAGCTTGATTCTATGGCTCAAAACATACCAAGCCCTGTCACTGAGTCCATTCCAGTGATTCAAGAGATTTCAAGCCTGTTACCTGAGTCTTCTCCTATGGATCAGGACTTTCAAATCCCTATTATTGAAGATGTAGTTTTGTCTTCTGAAGGTGCTCAAGCTTCTGGAAGCTCCTTTGAAGCCCTTGAGCTGGATATTTCAAAAGGCAAAAGCAAGCTACATGAGTCAGAATTTGTGGATGTCGCTCTGCTTCAGAACAAAGTTTTTGATTTGGAACAGAGCTCAGCAGAAAAGGATTTGATTATTGGAAAGCAGGACATTAGAATTAGTGATCTTGAAAAGGAGAACTCCATTAAAGATGCAAAGATTTCATAACTTCAAGTAAATCTCGGTGATTAAACTGCTTTATTCTTTGACCTGAAATAGCGCTTACATCAAAAGTTTGGTGATGATTTTCAACCTTTAAGCATTGAAGGAGAAAAGATTTATGCTTCTAGTTCTGGTCCGGTCAATCCAATTTCTCAACCTGCAAGTGAAAGAGTTGTAAGACCTGCTCCGGATGCAGTTCTTGACACATTTTTATCTTCTGGTCCTTCCTCTGCTCAAGAAAGAAGAGAGAAACAAATCAGGATTGATCGGCTGAAAGGGAAGATGCTAGTGATGAAGCATTCAGACCAAAATGCTCCAGGTGATCACCCTAAGATGTTCTTCAGGGAGACTGGGAAGAAGTTTACATATAAATATGGGGACCGCTCTGGCATTCGTATGTGGGGATATGAAACTGATAAGAAAATGTGGATCGTAAAGCGTAAGAGCGGACGAATTGAGTATTATGAGAAGAATGTCGACTTTTTGTCCTGGACAAAAGTTGATCTTTCTGAACTTGTTCACACACCTTTCCACAATCCAACCAATGATCCTGTGGCATAGTCCTTTAAGCAGCTTCTTGAGGATAAAGCTAAAAATAACTTTGAAGGCATGAAGACTGCTTCGTCATTTATGAAAAAGGCCAAGGATGTCATTGATCCTCGCACTAATAAAACCATGGTGAATGTTATGTGGCCGCCTACAAAGCAAGCTCGAAGGATTCTGCTTCCCAAACGTTTACCATAAGGCACTTTGGACTCAATGCAATTCTGGGTTTATGATGAGGCTACCGCAATAGTGGTCATCAAGCTAAAGAAGAGCCAGTATCGCATTGTCGACCCCAAAGATTTGTTGAAGTTTTGTGAACGTGATATCCGAACTTTGTCAATCTTTCAAATAATTGTTGAGAATGAATTGTTTGAATCTGCCGCAAAAGAATTCACCGGAATGGTTGCTACCATAATTGAACAGAAGTTGTGGGCTGGGGCATTTGATCAGGCGGACGTGCATCTCGTGGAGAAGCCTTGAAGTTAGTCCGAAAAACCAGCAATAAACCAAGGGGGAGATTGTTAGGACTAAATTATGGTTTATGCTAGTTTTTTTAATTAAATAGGCTTGTATGTGTTCTCGGTTAGTTGGACCGAAATCACCTAGTGATTTCGGTCATGCATGGGCTTGGGCCTTAATAGGCTTTGTATTAGGTTCATATATATATATATATATATATATATATATATATATATATATATATATGTTTAGCCGTGTGAGGTTTAGAGTTGTTCATTCATTGGTATTCGGTTGTTTTGAGTTCATTCATATGTACCAGACAATTAATCAATATATCGTGTGCATTTGAAGTTGTTTGTGTGTTCTTGAATCGTTGCTTGATTAACACTCTGCATTCTTTAAGCAATTAAGATTGATATCGTATAAGATCCATAGTTTTGGGACTTACAGGCTTGAAGCGATGAACACATAGATGCAATCCATGAGAGAAAATCAAGTATGGGACTTGGTTGAACTTCCTCCCAATAGCACGATTGTTGGAAGTAAGTGGGTCTTCAAGAAGAAGACAAAAATGGATGGCAGTTTACACACATTCAAAGCAAGACTTGTTGCTAAAGGATTCACTCAAACTCATGCGGTTGATTATGATGAAACCTTTTCACCAGTCGCTATGATTAAATCTATTAGGATACTACTTGCTATAGCTGTATATTATGACTATGAGATATGGCAAATGGATGTCAAAACGGCTTTTTTAAATGGGCACTTGGAAGAAGATGTCTATATGGTTCAGCCCAAAGGTTTTGTCGACCAAAAGCATCCTAATAAAGTGTGTAAGCTCAAGAGATGCATTTATGGATTAAAACAAGCATATCGTAATTGGAATCATCGTTTCGATGATGAAATCACAAAGTATGGTTTTATTAAAAATGAAGATGAATCTTGTGTTTACATAAAAACTAGTGGGAGCTCGGTGACATTCTTAGTCCTATATGTGGATGACATATTAATCATGGGAAATCACATTCCAACTTTACAAGGTGTAAAGACATGGCTTGGAAAGTGCTTCTCAATGAAGGACCTAGGTGACGCACAATACATTCTTGGAATCAACATCTATAGAGATAGATCAAAACGATTAATAGGTCTAAGCCAAGGTACATATATTGAGAAAGTGTTGAAACGTTTCAATATGCAAAACTCTAAGAGAGGATTTGTACCTATGGCGCATGGCACTGTACTAAGTTCATCTCAATGTCCTATGACAAAGGCTGAGCTAGACAAGATGAAGGATGTTCCATATGCTTCTGCAATTGGATCCATCGTGTACGTCATGAACTGTACAAGACCTGATCTTGTTTATGCTATGAGCATGGTAAGCAAATTCCAACAAAATCCAGGGGAAAGTCATTGGACAGTTGTGAAGAACATTCTCAAGTACTTACGAAGGACTAAGGATATGTTCCTCGTCTATGGCGGCGTGGAAGAAAGCTTAAGTGTAAAGTGCTACATTGATGCTTCCTTCACAACTGATCGAGATGATTGCAAATCGCAATCAGGATATGTGTTCATTATCAATGGGGGTGCGGTGTATTGGAAAAGCACCAAGCAAAGTGTTGTTGCACAATCCACTACAGAGTCAGAATACATTGTTGCTTCTGAATCTGCACAAGAGGCTGCTTGGATGAAGAAATTCATTGGAGATCTAGGGGTAGTCCCTACCATTCAGGACCCCCTAGATGTTTTCTGTGACAATGAGGGTGCTATTGCCTTGGCAAAAGAACGCAGATCACACAAGAAGACCAGACATATTAGCCGAAGATTCAACTTCATCTGGTATAAAGTTGAAGAAGGTGAAATAAGTATTCACAAAGTTCACACTGATCAAAATTTGGCAGACCCTTTCACGAAGCCCCTTCCTCAAGTCAAGTTTGAAGGTCATGCTCGAGGAATAGGACTTCGCTATTCTAGTGATTGGCTTTGATCTATATATTAGTATTGAGTATTAGAACATTGTAACATCATCTATTGTAATGACTATGATATATATATATATATATATGGCATATGATCTTTTCATTAAATATTTGTTGTGTTCTTTATTAACATGTTTAATCCATGAGTAAACTTATTCACTCTAAAATTCATAGTCGGTTATTATTGTAGGAACACTAATTAAGTAAGACTAATATGAATTGGAATTGTTGACAAAGCGTTGTAACCAGTTTCATAGGTACTTGCTAGAGAGCAAGTATTGGACTGGCCCATTCAAGATCATTTCATGGATCGCTGTCATGAATGATACTTGATAAAAAGTAATATATGTATATCCTTAACACCTGAGATACATATATGGGGCTTGAGTGTGGAGAATGTTATGCTTTGATGTGGTCAAATGATGTTCTTTAAACATGCAGTTATAAAAGCTATTATCGGGTATGATGTGAACCATGCAAGAGGCGTATGTAGTCAAGATGGGATTTGTTCCTCTTATTCATTGAGAGTTAGACATCTAAGGCCTGATGTAAAGTTGAACACTTATATGAGATTGACTGCAATCTATATCTCATATTCAACATGATGTCTGTAGCAAAGGGATAACTGATAGACTTAACTTACACACCAATTGTAGCCTTGGGCTTCTGGGGAATTGTGCGTTGATGGAATGGCACAAAGTAATATGTTGTTGGGGGCAGTGAAATGTTGCTAGACGTTCACCACTGTCTATATCAATTTGATATGAGTCTTGTGCAAGTGGGAGATTGAAAGATCAAGTATGCTCAAGAGTCATATTAAAATGATATTGCTAAATAACACATGATACTAAGGGTCACACTAACAACAACTTAATGCAATTGATTATTTATTAGAAATTGATTTTAATAAATATTCATTAAACTTTTATAATAATAAATTGGAAAATATTTATTTCATGGAAATAATTATTTTACAACACAAGTAACACATTATTTCATAAGGAATGAATTAATAAGTCATGGACAACATTTTGGACTAGTTGAGTCGTTTGTCTTTTACCAAAAGACAAAGTTTATATTTTATAAACTTTGAGTTTATAAAATTTAAACTACTTGTCTTCTTTTGTGAGCATGGGCCAAAACTAGTTTACTAGTGAAGGAGCATGGTTTTTGCATTTGTTTAATGCAAAGTAATCACTCTAAGAGAGACATTTTGATGACATAGGGACATGGTCGTCTTAAAGTGCTAAGACCTACTGGTTAAGGACTTTACTTTATCACTTAAGACTAGTTGCTTGCATTTTGTTCATCATTCATGCAAAGTCCAAAATTTCTCCCTCTATATGCTCTCTAGAAGTGTTCTTGCTAAGCAAAAGGAGTTCTTACTTGTTCTTATGCTCTCTTAGATCAAATACTTGGGTATTTGATTCTAAGCTTAAGAGTTAACAAAAGGAACTAGCATTCTTATCAAGTTTATCAATTGTTGGTGTCCGAAATTTCATCCATCTTCTTCAACAATCAATCCTCCCCTAGAGGACCCAAAGTTCTTCAAAGGTTGTTGTTACTTCTTCCTTCTATGGTTGTTTCAAATCTTTCTTCTGCTTGCAAGATGATCCTTGGTGGGTGATAAAATGTTTATGTTATTTTATAAAACTCAAGTCTTCAGTTAGCCATTATTTGTAGTTTTTGACACTAGTTTTTAAATAAAACCCAACAGACCAATATAGATTTCAGGTTTCGGAGAGGTAGAAGTGGTTTGCAGGGGCGAAAGGTTCGTTCTTCTTCGGGTTGGAGGTTTCTGTTTGGGTTCGGTTGTCTTGGGGAGATCGTTTTATGTTTTGAATTTTCGGTTGCGCTTCTCGGGTTGTTTGGTATGATTTGAGTGTTAGTAAGGAGCGATTTTGAGGGCGAAATCTAATTTAAGTGGGGGAGAGTTGTAACATCCGGTTTCGAGTAGTTTCACTGTGCGGGGCCGTGGCCCAGTTATCAGTCATCATAAGGCTTTGGGCCTTGGGGAAGGAAGGA